ATTTCATAGCCAACTACAATAAAATTTCTGTGAAAAATGCCGTTCAGCGGCCTGAGCAGCTTGTATGGCACCTCTTGTTGCGCTGGCCTTGTTAGCTCGATGACTCCTGACCCGGAGTCGAACCTCAATGTTATTAAAGACAGAGTAACGGGGTTATTGTGGACAACGTATGGCATTTTCGATTTCATAAGTTCTGTAGGCCATCATCCTTGATTTATCCGCGCGAAATGTACATACTTCTTCTGGAAGTGCATCACGATACCCCAGACAAGATTTTAGGTGTCGTACGACTTAGCAATACTAAGCAGAAGTTCGCAGACGCGACGTTCGTTTGCAATTCCTCCCTTGAATTAGGATCATACAAGTATTCATGGTCTTATTTAAGTCTGTCTTTCCCTTGTGGTCATTGTGCATTCTCTTCAAACCTGTGCAATTTTTTCTTATTCAGGCAGGTGTTAAACAAGCTGGTTCAGATTCTGCTTCAGGTAAACATTGCGATAATGTTGACCCCATCATCCCTGATCGTAGCGCAGATGTTTGCCATAAATATCGCAGTCATTATCCTGAAACGATAGACGTAAGAAACAGCGATATCACTCCTAGTGTGACCAGTAGCATTGATGCCAATACCGAAGCAATGAGCAGCGTGGAGGAGTTGCAGCGTAAACGCAATCCAGACATTCGTTAATATTGACATTAATTTTTTCAATGGCAGTGCAGATAACAGAAGCAGAGAGCAGAATGCGCATTTAAAGTTCCATTACACCATAATAATTATTAGTCATTCTTGACTTTGCGGGGCTTCCTTCGTTGGCTAGCGGGTCCCGGTCTGCCCCCTTGCACAGCTGCCGTAATTAGGTCGTTAAGAGTTATTTTCGGTGGCCGTAAGAAAAAGAACCTCACTTCTTATCCCGCTATTTTATCCTATACGTATCCTTACGTTGACTAGTTCGCAAACGCAACAGGCGAAAATCGCCACATGAGAGCCTTGACTTCTTTTTACGTTTGGATTCGCCAATCGGGAGCAACTTTCGAATTCTTCGAAATTCGAATTAGGCAAAAATCTTGAAAAATACAAAAAACGAATCTGCAGCCCGTTTAACGTTTGTTATCCGATTACGTTAGTTGTTGAAAAGTTAAACTTTTACGATACTCTATCTATTGGAGACGACTTTAGAACTGAAAGTTCGCTATTTGAAAATTATCTTCACCTGCACAACATTAGTTTGTCCTTTTTTCCATTGCACTATGCCAAGCCTTAATTTTGCATAGAAGCTGGTTTGGGTTCGATTCGGGTGCGCTGCTGCCAGCATTTTCATCCGTGCCATAATCGTAATGTATAATGTAGTTTACATATATATATAACTCGCTTTTTCGAAAACTGCCCTATAAGCTTTGTTTACCATTCATTTGATAAATTTAAGGCACGATATTTCGTAATAACTTGCCCTGCTATGCTGAAGCGTTAACACTACTCAATCCTTAGTAACTCTACCACATTACGGACGATAGAATTGTTTCAGTGTCTGTTTATATACGTGTACTGATTTATAGGGCTGCAGGTATCATCGCGAGAATACGGGACACACGCTAAGCTAGGAAGAATGGAAAATGTCATACGGAAAGGTCTTCATGCAATGCAATAGCACAAAACAGATACTCCGCTATTTACATTTTGGCTAATGCAATGATGTTACAATTATGCAATCTGTTTCATAACATTAATATTTTTTAGGGGTTTATATTAAGTATCCTACACATATTTTAGGTGTCCCAAACCAGGTACAATTATTAATTCCAGTCAACTTCATTCTTTTTGATTATTATGAAAGAGTTCGCATCCACCTCGGACTGCGCAATACGAAGCCGCCATTGTGGTGCACATTTCCCAATTGTTGATTATGAGGATCGTCACTAAAAAACGAGATAAACATTATGTAAATATGACGATATATACGGTAGAGAAAAATTAGGTTTCGGGTTGAGAGTGACATAGGTAGGTTACACTAAGGAAAAAGGCCTTTAGTAAAGAAGAGTAGGTTCACCTTGATCAATAACTGTGGACCTACTCTTTTTAACTGGAATTCCTTTCCTAATTCTAGCTTTTATCCAATGTCCTTTACGAATCTATGCTAAGCTCGAAAGTGGTGTTTGAAATTGATAGCGCTATGGGCGACAATTGACCCTTTCGAGTTCACTTAAACAATTGTATTTAGGTTGCGATCTACCTCTCTATCGGCGTATTAGGAGTTGTGTTCTTCTAAACCGTCACTGTAGGGTACAACGTCCGAGCCCAATTTAAGCGTGGTTAACAAATTACGGAGCGACCTTCAAGTTTGCTATACCAGCTCAATGTGTGTATTAACGCCACTCTAAACAAAAACAATCTGTTTCTATCTATACATGATCTAGCGCGTACAACCATCTCTTCGTGGCAATCTGTTTCAGTGCCCAATTCTAATAACTGACAGTATGCAATAGAAAGCAAAGCAACAGCCAACAGGCAGAGACTTCGATATGTGTGTAATGGTGTGAACCGTAAGCCGGTTTCTCTATTATTTATAACCTTTATTCAACTTACATAAATGCCCCATCATGCTCAAGCTTCTCATGTTCGAACTGATCCTCCCTACGGCTGGGTGCGGAGTGTTTTCGTAGTTAGGTTATGTCTGAGATGAAATGCAAACGACGATATACTCTGTTTCGTGGCTGAAGTGTTACTTAACGGGGGCATCGGACGTAAAGCTTGAACCGTTACATGGGCAATAGAGCCGTGCAAGCTTGAGGTCGTAATAATTTTGAGGTAATTACAGATGTCTAAAGGAGGTCAGATAATTGTTGTCATGTGGAGCATCGAAACAAACAGTGGACTGATCTGGACTGGAAACTGATACTCAAATGAGACAATTGATGTTGTACAGCGTAATGCAATAATGTACACCGCTGCGTGGTTGTAATTTATAAAAATAGTCGAGCTAACAATGTTTTATTATAAGAATTCCATAACAGGAATTCGAAATTGGCCTCACGTCGTCTGGTGTCGACTGCTAGAGAGAATACTGTGTATCTCCATTATAAAATTCTCTCAACCGATCTGCAGACTACGCCAAGCGTAGAAGTTCTATTTGAATCTGCACCGTCACTGAATTCGCTTGGCTAGCTTCTTAATTCTTGCGGTACATCGATAATGATTCGTACTACCAGATGCTAATAACAAGAATAGTAATAAAAATAATAATAACGAGAAGACTTATTATATCGTTATCGACATTAGCATTATCGTAGGTATCAGCAGTGAAAAATTATAAGAAAGCACCTTTCGTACAGATTTGAACTGAATTCACCCAGACCGAATACGTCATCGCAATGCGAATATAATGGTGTCTGAAAGGGAACATTCCTGTTGGGTTCTCGTTGCGGTAGTGCGGCCGCTTTATCTACCGTGCCGTTGTGTTTCCCCACTTCGGCATCGGCAGTGATGGCGATAGTGGGTAAGTCGCTCTGTGCCGTTTCTGCATCGTAAGAAGCGGACGAAACATCTTTTTCGTCTGCATCCGAGTTATTACAGAGTCGGAACGAGCCAGCGAGCGAGCGAACTAGCTAACATACATACGGACGAACGGATGGACGAACCATCAGCAACCCCATGGCAGGCAGTCGCCGAATGACCGATTTTTCGAAGTGAGACCCTTTCTTGAGTTTTGCAATGGGGTGAAGCGAGCGTGAACAAAGCAATCGAAGCGCGAAAATTTGAAATTCGTTAAGTGGCAACATGAATACTTTTACGAGAGAACTTTGGAACATTTTAGAGGAGCTATTATTAAGATAGGGTGTACGTGTTTGGTCCCAAAATCGTTGTTAATAGTGACAACAATAATGCACGCCTTTCGTGGAGAAGGTGGTATATTCACAGGTAGAGCGAATTTGATGTCCATATTTAACTAAGATATTTCATTTATGGAAATATTGAGCATTACATTAACAAAGCGAGAAACATACTGTGCTTTCTAATAGAGAACAGTATGCATCGCTTTGACGGCTTGAGTGGTGTTTCTTGCTGCGAAGCTTAATACTGCTGCCTGAGCCATGCTGTATGACTTATTATCATAAAGCTGCTTCGAAGCACTGCCCCATCTGTCATAGGTTTAGTGAGTGAGCTTATTATCCGGCATGCTTCATGCTGAGTCGAACTCAAACTATGGTGATTTACAGTAAATGGATGTTTAAGAAGGGCAGTTGTACTTATAACCCAGTTGACTTTAATGGTATTGTTCGACAAAGTACTTTGAGCATTTTTTGCTGTTTGGGATTGAAGTTCTAAAGGCACATTTCTGAAGAAAAAAAAAACGGTGCTTTACATTTCTGATTCGTAATCAAAATAGATGTGATAGTCATTTACAAATAAAAACACACCAGAAAAGGTCGCTGTTCTCGGGCTTAAAGTAGCGTTCTTCCAGCGAAATAACCAGCTTTGCTCGCTTTGAACTCTCTGCACCCCCGATCCCCCCTCCTCCCCTGGGATTGCCCCCATATGTTTACAGAGCGACGGCAATGGGCTGCAGAGGATATTATCCTCACAGACGAAAATCTCTATCACTTGTCGAGTATCTTCATTTTAGGAAAAATCGAAATTCCGAAAAGGAGCCACATCATGTAAGCGAGAATGAACGTCCTTCAATTTATGCCACGTTTGAACGTTTAAGTTTGGCATCCTTTATCCAGTGGAAAAGCTATGAATTTCCCCAAGAGTTCAATAACGGAATCCACTACAACGCGCATCGCTAACACCCTAGGCGCTCTTGTACCACAATTGAAAAGACCGATACCACGTTACTACATTCTTTTCTTTGATCACGTTTGTTCCGCTTCACGCTCGCCGAAGACGCAACGCATGCGCGGTCTTCGGTCTTCACAGCGATGTTCGGTTTGGCGTTGCAGGGACTGCATCACCCAGCTTCGAAACGACTGGCTGACGGTAGCGAAGCCAGCCGGGTCTGGTCTCGTCCTGTCAGGTTTTATCGCTTGGACAACGTCTACCTCTGTATGTGAAAAGAAGAAAGACGTCTGCTGCAATAGACCTTAAGCTATTCCTATTGGTGTGCCTCTTTCGTACAGCAGCGTAAAACAAAGCAAAGCAGCGAACCTACAGAAGATTTCGCTGGTGCCTAACGAGAAAAAAGTAACGTTCCTTTATAGTTGTGGATTGTTGTTCCCAAAATTCGTCGGAACACTTGTCTCTTGCGTGCTACCCCCCTCCTCCCCTCTTCTACCCCGCCTAGATGCCACCAGCATCAACCAGCAAGCACCAATCAGCGTGCCCATTATCTATATACGTCTTAATGCCGCTGATCCATACCGTGTGCGATTTAATGTCGGTAGCATAAAACCGTGTGCGTATATGCGTGGGGTGCGGATCCTGCTACGAAACATCAGCTGTCCGTGTGCAGCTCTTATTTCGGCTAGCGGTGCTTGTTGAGTACGGCTGCTCCTCGTTGTTCATAATAGTTCGTCCGGCAGTTGTGAGCTTCAGCCAACTGAGCTGACCAGAGACGAACCATCGAATGTAGCAGCTCACAGATCCCTCGACAAACAACAGACGGATATTAGGACCTTCTATGCATCAGTGGCGGAAGGAGTTTCAACTGGTTGTGTACGACAGACAGCCGATTATCGAGCATTATAGTAACACTATATAGCATCGTTATCGCCGTCGTCGGCTAAAGCGACGACCGTCAACGTTGGACGCAAACTGCCCCATTTTGTGAATTTTTCTTTACAACAGTTCTAGTTGGGCGGTGGCTTCTCTTCAGTGAAACTCGCCAGTTTCGCTTGACAAGATAGAGCCGGAGCTGGATTCGTGTAAGAACTGTATAAAAGACTCGAATAGTTGGGTATTTGGATATCTATGTAACTGCTTTACAATTTATCAAGTTGCAGTGCAAGATCCGTGATAAAAATTGCTATGTTGTGGTATGGATATCGATGTGGACTGGTCGATCTTGACTGAGTTGCTAATGCTCGAATTGGAGCAATAAGGTCGAAACATTTGTGTAAGCTTGTGATTGTTTTTGTCTAGGCGTACGTTTTCGTATAGGATACTGTTGCTTTGCTAGCGTCAAGCAGAGAGGATACTTAATTACGAGTGTTCGACACGTATGTGCTGTTCCCAGTTGGAATACCACTTATCATTGTAATCTTCGTCGATTTCTGGATGCGCCCATTTTCTCAGCGTATCCATCAACAAGCCCAACTGATCACGAACTACGCGAGATTTGACCGGAGATAGAACAATGGCCACAACCCCGATTTGTCGCTGCCGGGTGCTGTATCTAGGCTCTGCGGTTCCACATGTTACGAAAGATGGCCTTCAAGGAATCCAGGAGCCTCTACGAGACTTGTATCCTGAAGCAGGTCCGCTGTCTGCGCGTGGTATCGATTCGTGGCTCTCTGTGTGGAGTAATGGACTTTTGCTGGAAAACGTAGACGAGTCGCAGCGTCAACATACACGATTCTTTCCCATCGATACGCTTCACTATTGCGCAGCCGTTCGTTATGTGATTGTGCCAAACATGCAAGGCGGCCGTGCGGTGGAAAAATTCCTGCCGTTGGATAGTCCATTTGCACGACATGCGGGGCCCTCACAGCCACCTGTGTTCGCTTGCATCCTGCGTCGAACTACCGGTATTAAAGTTCTCGAATGTCATGCATTCATTTGCAAGAAGGAGCAGGCTGCTAACGCCCTGGTACGTTGCTGTTTCCACGCCTACGCCGATTGTACGTACGCTAAACAGATGGAGGAGAATCCTTATGCGTCTCTGGCGCCGCGTCGCTCAAAGAGTGCTCTCGGACTCGAGAAGAGCGCTAATGGCTCAGATCAATCATGGCGAAATTCCACCTCGGATACCCCGAACGAAGACAGTATCATGCTCGATGACGAGACGGACACGGACGATGCTAACAACTACAAAGTGTGGAATGGACCATCGCCTAGAGATGTTGTCTATTCACCTCCGACGGAGAATGGAGCATTCAATACAGGAACTCTACGATCGATTCATAGTACCGTGTCACGTCGCCCGAGACAGCTGGCTCAACCGACAAGTGCGCCCCCGCCGCCTCCGCCTCTGCCGCCACCCCTGGAGCGTATGGAACGCATGCCACCAATGGAACGAACGCTACCCTCAACAGCCATGATACCACCGCCTGGTATAGTGCCGAACTCGAAGAAGGAAGCCAACACCCTCAAGAAACTCAAGGCAAAAGACAAAAAGAAAAAAGGTAGCGGCAGCAGCAGTAAGGATCCGCTCCAGAACGGCTATCCAATCTATCCGATGATAGTCTATCCGCCTCCCCCGCACATGATGTACGCACATGGCGCCCCCGGTCGACGAGGAGGTGCGTCGATGTTCCCCTACGAAGAGCCGGTCTACCTGCCACAGATGCGGCCACTTAGCCCTGTAGCCTCGTACCAGCCTGGCGGTTTCCCGCATGAGCAGTACTTCATGCAATATGCCACCACCCCGAGGCCCGCAACTGCGCATGGTACCCGGCCTTCTAGCAGAGCGTATAAAAAGCAACAGCTTATGCCGCCGACGCAAGCCGTGAATGGTCATCACCATCATAACGGCCACAGCAGTGGACACAATCACACGTCGAGCTCGGCCGAGAGTTCACCGTTTAATACAGGCATTTACCGTAAGAAGGGCCATATGAATGAGCGCGCATTTAGCCATTCGATTCGACAGGAGCAGATGATTCGCTCGCGAAGCAATTCCGTAGCGGCGCTCGACTTCGACGCCGAAGACCTTGGCGACCAGATGCAGGCATTGGATCTAGGCCCGCCACCGCCGCCACCTAACGGGCATCCGACGGTGAACGGCAATGGATATCCAGGCCAGCACGGAGCTTTGAACGGCTACGATCAGGTCTACGGGCACGCACTTGTTGAAGCCGATTCAAAGACGATCGAAAAGAAGACACAGAAGAAAAAGGACAAGAAATCGTCGAAGGAGAAGAGATGAGGATGACCGTACGCTTTTAGGGAAAACCGGATACAAGCAAAAGAGAAAAGAGACGAATGAAGGGCAAAACAAACTGTTTAGTAGTCTAATGGAGTCCGCTTCGTCTGCTAAAGTGACCGTTCGTCTCGAAGCTGACGACTGAAAAAATTCGACTCTCGACTGTACGCACCATCTGCATGCGAGTCGACACTCGCTTTCCTGCCTGCGTCACACTGTATATAGACCAAGCCCTGATGTGTCAGGGAGATGTAGCTTGAAGAAGCAACATAATGGTAGTCTACTGTACATATAGTAATAATATGGCTATCGATACATGAGATTTTTACAGTAAATGTTTTCGTCAAGGCATGTTAATGAGATACACAAACTTGAGATTAAGTTATATTTTAGCGGCCGTATTGAAGCTACCCTGTGCGATGTGCCACTAACCCATATAGTAATCAACCCGCGACAGAGAGAAAACAACGACCTGATGCGAAGAAGAAGGGGGACGCGCAGCCGTCCGATAGAGAAGATAGGATCAGATGATCGACAGTTAACAGCGAGAACGAACTGTGAACGGGCGAGATACACAGTACATTAGTTCAAATAGTTGAACTAACTAACATTTCGAAACTAAAAGAGTCAGTAGAGACGACAGCTGCAGCGACTAGTGATAGTTCATTGCGGACACCTTGTTTGTTTATCCGCTGCTACCGGTCGACTGCCCGCTCACACAAAGGTAATCGACAGTTTGAGATGGAGTCCAGCTCCCTTATTTCCCCCAACTTCTTTCAGCGAATGGCCTCGCCGACTTTTTACACAAACCCTTCAGCGTACACATAGTAGTAAGTGGCTAGACAGAAACGTTATGAATGTATGTGTATATGTACCCGCCGCAAAGCTTAAATAGATATCATAACGAAGCTCAGACGTCGATGGTAGCGACCGGTGTCCCTCAGAACTCCCCCTCCTGAGCGGTGATTTCTGGTCTGGAGATGCCGTCACGGTGCGGCAAAGTGTCTATCTCTCAGACATAGCGCCACTATCGTAACACGCTAATCAGCAAAAGGATGCTAATGACTCGGTGCTGGAACGCTTTGACTGCAAAAGTCGACCAGCTTTCAAAAGGTAATCACAACACAGGCACATATAATAAAACCAGCAGCGTTCCGCGTGTCGACGCTGGCCGATAATTGGTAAGAAGTGGCTGAAAACCACAGCCATAGTTGACTGACTGACCGACTGACGGTTCAACGGTTTGGGTCTGCGTTTACCGCCATCACCACGGATTTATGTCGTGTTTTACATATGAAAATGAATGACAAACTAAAAGCCAACGTAAACGACACAGGACGAGATAAATACGAATGCGTGAGACAATAAATATATTTAGATATAACCTTCGACGACGATGAGATCGAAGAGGAAGTTCAATGAAATGATCGTAAATTGAAACTAATACTTTTACAGCTGTAACAAATAGTAGAAAAGTATAATTGAAATACAGACAGACCCATATAGCAGGCTCAGTGCAGGCTCGTGCCGTACAACGGAAACAGACATCACTAACAAAGGTAGTCAATTATTTGATTTAATATGGTAATCACATAGAGAAAAAAAAAAGTCTAGCGTGCAAACAGTATCCAATAGATTATGGGACAAATAGTCGCTAACATGCGATCGTGTGACACAATGAATAATGTAACAATAAGTGAGGAAATATTTCCATGGACGTTGAAACAAATGTTATAGAAATAAATTAGATTCAAAAATGTTCTGCTAACCAAGTTACTTGAACATTCTAATTTTTAGATAATGTCTTTAAATGTATCTCGTCATACACCCGTGCAGCTTAAGTATGATATGATTCTGTAACAAAATGCGTATGAAACGGGAAGATAGTTAGACAATATGTACACCGAACATTTAGATTTTGATAATGCTACATTATCGGTATACCTAACGTGTTTTGTTTATAATAGCTATCGTCTGCTGACAACCATGATGGCGGCATGCGTAGAATATCCTACTGACGGCCGTTGACCTTCGAACTTCTTTGATCAACAGCTGAACCTTTGTGATTTTTTTTCCAATTATTTGAGTTTCTAATTTTCCTGATCCTGTTTAGACAGCGCAAATGTGATTGCATTTTGTGCGCCACTGGTTTTACTGCCCGTTGCAGGAATATACATATACTGCACGTGACTCATGACTGTCATAGCTGTTTGATTTCAAGCAAAAGGACCATAAAGGCAATAAATACAATAAGAGCAAACATGCACCGGCTCAACTGATACATTCTGTCGGCTTTCGCTAGTATAGCGTACAACTGGGGAGGCCGAGAGGCCCTCGTGGGTTTATTGTACGCGGTGGGGCCCCTGACAACTGACGACGAACTGAGAGAGTGAAGAGTGTCTAACTGAATCAGCAAGCTTTTCGCTCGTATCGTTACCGAGCACCTTCGGTGGCTCTAGCGCGCAACGTCGAACTAGATTACCCACTGAGAAGTACTTGATGTCTCATCGTGACGAAAACAGGCAAGGAGTGAAGCACAAATAAGAGGCGAGAGTCCATAAGTCCGAAAAAAAACTCAGTCAATCAGTCGCGCCTATCGAGCGACTAGGATTCCATTCTTCCTCTTAGTCAGCTTACTTTTAAGTACCCCTTTATCAAAAAAGGTGCGCTAAGCCTTATGGAAAAGCGTCACAACTCTAAATTGACCGCCTGGCTAGTATTGAACGAGGAAAATTCTATTCTATTTAGAAACATAGCAGAAAGATAAATTGGGCCGACATAGCGGCTTATAATATAAATAGATAACACCCAGTGCAACCTATTCGAAACCCCTTTAAAATTTAACTTTAAAATTAGGAAGCCACTGACCGCGTAACATGCAGACGCATTTTAACAGGGTATTTTGCCAACGACCTTTCCATTGGTCACTTCTAAGGAACATTGATCAAGAACAGGTTTCATTTACTTAATAAAATGGCCGTATCTATCTGATTGTCAACCCCTCGTCTTAGAAGAAAACCAGGGACCAACCAAACTACGCAATTGTCACAAAGTAAGGGAAGCTTGAAAATAATAAAGTGTTAAAGTTGCTCTTATTGCCAAAAACTTATTCTTCCCTCGTAGGAATATGTGCGAGTGACGCATTGATCGATTTGTATAACTTAAGCCCCTTTTAAGCCTATATACAAAGAACCGATAAAGTAACTTTTTTGGAGAAAATGTTTTTTGATGGTTAGCAAAATTAGGATAGCAATTGATTGTTTATTGCATGATTTATTTTTTGTTCCTCACGCAATCATGTAACACAGTCTTCCGAGCATAGTTATAATGTTGTGTTTCGTTAATGCAGTAAGAGTGACCGCAGTACCTAAATATATTTGACATAAGTCAATACAGCATGCGGTCGAATCAATAATTTTCTTAGTCGAGATCATAACATACTTGAGAATTTACTAAACTTCACGAGAAACTACAACTTCTGTATATATATATAGAATATATGTACACGAGGTATTACATATGCATGCGGCGGATTCGGGTTCTGAAGCAATGCTAAAACCATTGTATCGCTGAAAAAAGCGCGCTAACAGCGAAAGACAGCTTCGATAATGGTAAGCACTCGATGCGTACCACAGCGATTCGTTTCCATGCACATTTTGCCAAGTAAGAGGATAAACGTCTATTCTAGGTATGACCAATCATTTGAATTGAGCTCGATTGTAGCTTTTCAGGAGCAAAGAAAAAAGCCGCATAATCTAATTTGTTCTCCTTGCAGTGTCTCGAGCACGATTTTTACAGTGACAATTCTTTGCACTACCCTTTCCGAAATGTCCCCCCAGGATACAAGTGACCCACAACCGGTAGGGCTTCACGTTACCTCACGGTTAGCTTCACGTTCATTCATCACATCAAAACAGAACCAACGCAAAGCTAGCTCGTGTCATAACAAAGTCAGACTTAAAAATGAGAAGTACCGAAAACGAAAACATTGAATTTTCGCTCTTTTTGTCGTAAAATACCTATAGACGCACACATCTAACTCATATATGTACATACACTATTGAAAAAGCCCACAGGTAAAGTAATAAATGAATATCGATTTGCCACGGCAAGCGAGGGAAAAGAGGAAAGAAAAGGGAAACGAAGTGCTGTAATTTTCGACGCCAGCAGATTTTTTTTCGTCACTAGAGCACTAACAGCATCATCATGCAGCTCAACCGCTGCGGGCACCAATAACGTTCACACCGGAAGTTGCTTCTGGGTCACTTGGTCCCTTCCTGGCTTTAGTCGTTCGTGCTTCCAGTTGTTACCAATCAGCCCCAACACCTTCAGCAACGTTTCGGCAAAGAGCACTTTCGTTCTATCATTGTAGGCTAGCAGGAGACGCGTTCTGACTGACTAAACTATTCAAAATGAAATCTAGCACTTTTTTTTATTCCCGCCGATGGTGGAGTTGCGGCGTCATCATCATCGATGCGGCTGATCGACGAAGTCGACGAAGACGACGTAAAAAAGATGATGAATTCTAGTGGAATAGCACCGCAACAACAACAGCGGGTGCGATTGCTTGAACTCCTGTTGCAACTTCAACAGCAACGCTATGATTGAGCAGCAATAGGCATCGCAGGCGGCGATGATGATAATAACGGCGACGACGAAGATCGCGCAGGCGGTGACTTACATAGGTCTATGCGACTACATAATAAGAGGGGGCATTGAAACGGACAACATACTGAGGGAAAAAAGGAAGATGAGGCCAAAAAAAAAAGAAGGTGTTTGTTACATTGCTACAGTGTGCCGTAAGCTGCTAAGTCGTTAGGGTCAGATCGTTCGGCGTTGAAGCAACTGTTCCAGTTGAGTCACTTCGACCTCTACCCCCGGTTGCGTGTTTTCTAGGGGCGATAGGTAATGGGTTCGAAGATGGTGATCGAGACGAGGCACATGTCATAGGCTTTGCTATAGTCCGTACGTATTGTATAAATCGCGAGGTAGTTGCAGGTATGCTATGAGTAAAGAAGAAGCATGCTTGATGATAAACAAACGAAATTGTTTGCATTCATAAAATCTTATCCAACCGGGACGCAATTAGCATACAAGGAAATTTTGTCCATTTGATGCCAATCAGTCGTCAATCAATTATCTGTGTGTGAGTGCGTGTCAACCAGTTCTGCTCATAAATATTCACTCTCATATAATAACACGTTGAATTTTTCACGGATAAAATTGGATAAAGGTATCGCGGTCCACCGTTCTGTCGTCTGTGCAAATGGCCAAACATGCCGTGCTTAATATGGTAATCTTGTAGTCGTCTGTAAAGTAGCGGTACCGAGCGGCCGGGTTGAATGAATGTTTCCGCGCTGACAACCAAAAATTCGAGCGCTGATAAGTCGTGTGCGTGTCTGTTACTGATATTCTGATGGAGTGCCATCGATGCCGCTTGCAGAATATAATTCTACCTGTCTAAAGTGTATTGGAACCGTTTAAAACATAAATTTTCAAATGCAAAATAGCGACTAAAAATGAATCAGAAATCTAGCCCAGTTTTTTTCTTGAAAAAGCAAGTCAGTGTACACAGGTATATCTATGTAGAATATGTATAAATAGCCTAACAGTCGGCAGTTAAGTCTGGTCCGATAGACTTAATTGCTTAAAAGCAATCTGCTCGCTTGAATTTACTGGATTCCACTTAAATCGATGATACATGGGGTAATAGTATGGTACAACGGAAGAACGTACCGTTCACTTTTAACGCTGCAAACATTAGCTGTAACAGATCGGGCCGGATTTACTTTAACGACAACATTCGGTGAGAGCCCGTCAGACATAGCGCTAGAATGGAAAGCTAAACGAATCCGACCTCAGTACTTATAAACAGTTCATTGTTTCCCGAAACTTACCAGTGTCCGTGCATCTGACGTACAATATTTTCGTGCAATAATAATAGCTCTTTCTTTAGCCTGGTGGTACGTTAGCTTAGGTGGCCTTTCTTTCCATGCACTAAACAATACGTACCTTCAACTGTTTGCCAACCCCGAGGACCATCTTTGATATTTGCCCCTAAGAGTACGCATGTTGCCAGGATAAAAAAGACATTTTTTCTGTTACACAGCTTTCTTTTATGCCGCTCAAGCGTTAGCCGAAAAAGCAACGAATCGTTCTTCAGTTACACTTCGTCATTCGAATGATCTGATAATAAAACGGATTCAATTATCAGTGCATCTGTATCTAGTATTGTCAGCCCGACCAACTGGGTCACTGCCATGGATGGTGCTAAAGACTGAGGTGTACATCGAGCAATGGTAAACAAGCAGGCAATGGACGAACGATATCAATTGCGACCAGCGGCCAACCCAATTCACCAAAAGCATCGATAGAATCGAGTTAGCTCTTTTGCTGGACGACCATTGAACGTGTAGAAATGTACAATACATCTACGATTGTTAGATGCTCTGTTTACGTGCGAGCGTGAATACTATTTGAGGCAGTATTCGAATGTGGCGTCCACTCACCGTACTAGTACTGCTGCCATGTCGTCGTTGGGTTTATTTACCTGCGCGTCTGGATTCAGCTGGATAGAGCTGTGGCGTCGTGTACCGATGTGGATTCGTGCACGCATGTTTATATTATGCAGAAATAGGAACATTATCTGCTCACCGGTTGGCCTGCCAGTGTATCAGCATAGGCTAACAATAACCGGTTAGTTGTCGGGACGGCCTGCTGGAAAGGAGAAGAGGTCAATGCGAGGTGATGCCACGTACGGTGCTCGACGTGT